TCGACCGATACACGTGTTATAGTAACTCAACATGATAACATCATAATTATGTACAAATCCATTGCAATACGTGTTTTACATAAGCAGGGAACTCTATACATAGCTCTTTCTTATTTAAAAATCTTCATTTCAGTGTAACTCATGTTGCTTGTCGCGGAAAGTGTAGTGTCCTAAAACATTACGACGAATATTCCTTTCTCGTATCTAAGGAAATGGGCGTGTCGTTATGTTATAATTGACGTCCAAAACATGACTCAGAACGTTTCGTCCAAATGGAAAATTTTACCACTTCGATGCGCTTCATTGTAGCATGGTTTTGAATCTGTTTGGTGAGTACATTTACATAAGATTAACCTCTTGTTGACCTGCTAAGAATAGATAATATGCCACGTGATTCCATTCCGCCACAGGTGAATACCCCCGGAAAGCGTGTTTTCTTTAGAAAGCGACACATGTAGTGCAGTCACAAGCTTTTATTTTTTAAAATTCAAAACAAGGTTCTATAGGCTTCGAAGATATCACTCATTTTAAATTTCAAATGGTGATTTTTCATGGACATATTTTAATTCTCATACATGCAATCGCAATTTTCCTGGTCACTGCGAACAACACAATAATGTACGAGTAGATGTATATAAATACACATTTAATCAAATTCTTGCGCAAAAGAAACAAACAAGCAAAAATACCAAAGACGTTACAACATTTAATCAGTCTATAAAAACAAATGCACTGTACTGATTACTTCAATATTCAAAGAAACCTTACACTTTTGTCACGTTTTGTATTAATGCAACGAAGTAGATGAATATTGAGTTTGAATTTCATTTACCAATCTTGTGATATTTATTATTAAGAATCCTTATAAGTATAATAATTATGTTTCTATTATTCAACAACTGTTGTTGAAGTGATTATACACATGTATATTACGCGATTTGTACACGCCATGTATATTTTAAACAATAATCGATAAGTAAATCGGAATATTCATTGTAGAATTTAAAGCAAAATTAAGAAATAAATATACATGTCAGGCATGTAGTATCAGGGGGTGGGGGTGACCCCTTCTTTTCAGAGATAAATCTTTAGTTCTCCCCCCCCCCTCCAAACCCCCCTTTCTTACGCCTTTAGGCTGGTACGATATGAATAAACACACAATGAAATTGTTTTATTTTTCAAATTAATGCCCTGTTCACACGGAGAGTTTAATTCGCAGTAAATTAATGCGAAGTAAACTAATGCGAATCAAATTAATGCGAATTAATTGCGTTCACACGACAGCTAATGCGAAGTAAACTAATGCGAGTTAAATTTTTTCTTCTACAGTCAGGCGTCAGTAAGGCTATTGTGACGTCATTTGTAATCACGTCACGTATGCAGAGCCATCCTTTGATACATCATGTAGTGGCTACAGGTATTCATTGATTTTAGTGATTTACATACTTTCCCTCAATTTTTGAACCATATATAGCACAAATACCTATATATAACCACCAACACGTGTCCTGTGACTTAATTTTGCCACTACGCATGCCTCACAATTTAATTTGAATTAGCTTCGCTTAGCGTTCACACTGAGTTAATTCGAAGTAATTTAATGCTCAGTAAATTAATTCGAATTAAAGTAATTCGCATTAAATTCACTGTGTGAACGCTAAAGTTTGATGCCCACTCCTACATAATCGATTATTTTCAAGTTTGGAAGAGTTTACTCTTTATTTTGCTTAAATTTATCAAACTTCTGTTCAGGTTTATTGTTTATTTTTTCTTAGCTCCCCCTTTACAAAGGAAAGGAAGTGTATTTCTGTGTGTATTTGCCGTAATTTATTATTCGATCGCTTGTATTTTTTAAATTGTCATTTGGAAAAAAATTAGTACATGTATAGTGGTTATATATTTGATAGATGCAGATTAAAAATTTTAAAAAAGTGATTAGGGGATTTTCAGACCAAAAATACCTCAAGAACAAAAAGAAGACCACTCACCCATGCCAAATTAAGAAGAATACGAATAGCGCAAAATAAAATTCAAGCTTATTGAACATTATTCTAACCCCTTCTACATTGTTAATTATTTCTTATCTCACGATAACGCTCACTATGTCTTCCTTTATAAAGTACCTAATTTAAATGTCTCCGCCCATGTGTATATAATAGAGAAACCATACTCTGTCCGAAAGAAAATATTCAGGAATTTGTATGTGCGGTAGGTTTTGAAAATTGGCTTTTATTTCTTGATACTCAATTTCATTAATAATGATTGTACAAAATTTTTATCAGAAATACTATGTTATACACCATGAAAATAAAAATTATCCCATATCCTTAAGTATATTCTGTAAAATAAGGGCGAAAAAAGGGACCAAGCTACTATACTTAAGTGGAAAACACCTTTATACATGTATTCATTACAGAAATAGAGACTGCAAAGGGTCAACAAAGTTTCCATGGATTGTTTTTATATCAATATTTATCTATCATCCTTAAAAGGAGCTTTAAAGGTCCGCTTTTGAAAATTATAGAGCAAAGAATATCATCGACACCACAACTTTCCCCAGTCGACTGAACTGTCCAGAAGTGTTTGCAGAATCCGTTACGCTTTCAACCAGCCTATTGCACTAAATTGGAAGATAATACATTCTTACAACCCGTGCGCATGTCATTTGGCCCCGAAGACTTCATTAGCAACGGATTTTTACAAATATATTTTCCAAATGCAAAGAATTACCGCTTAGTTGAAACCCCATATGTTACTTAACCGAAACCCCACGTGTGCCCCTGTACACGGTGGATATTGTTCAACCAAACCTCCCAAAAATATTTACAGTAGTGAAAGAAAAACTACAGGAGTACTGTGCAACAATATACATGTATTCGTGAAGTAGTGTAAATCACATGTGGATACTAGTGCTTCAAAATTCATTTCAAGTAACTTTTGGAAAAATTTGAGATCACTTAAGGAATGAAGCTTATTTCAACTACAATGAAGCGCGTTGAAGTGGTAAAAATTTTCCGTTCGAAAGGAACGTTCTGAGCTATCTTTAGAACGTTTATTGTCACCGTATGACACGCCCATATCCTTAGAAATGGATAAAATGGTCAATTTGTTTATTCGAATACCTGTAGAACAGGTTTTCCATAAATATAATAGCCAATGAAATTGACGGTCTAAATAAATATCGAGTAAACACGTGTTCGACCGAAACATGTGTTGTGGTAACTTCAATAGACATGATAAGTTAAAGATAAGTACATATTCGTTGCAATTTGTGTTTTACAGAAGCGGAGAGTCTTTAACTCTCTCTTCTAATATTTTTAAAGCTCCATTTCAGTTTAACTCATATTGCTTGTCACAAAGAATGGGGTGTCCTGAAACATTACGACGAATATTTCTTTTTCGTTTCTAAAAATATTGGTGTGTCATTATGTTGTAATTGGCGTTCAAAACATGACACAGAACGTTTCATCCAAACAGAAAATTTTACCACTTCAATGCGCTTCATTGTATGTTATACGATATAACATAACTTGGGGCAGTTTACGCTTTATAAACCGCGACCCTCGGGGTAGGGCGCGGCCATAGTGGCCGACCAAACTTTTACATAGAAATATACAGGAAAATTCTTTAAAATCTTCTTCTCAAGAATAACAAAGCCATAATTGATCATATTTATATATTTGCATATCCACTGCTCTCTCCCACTATGAACATGTATCCAACTGCGTTCATAGAACTATAGACGCAACTGCTTCTGCTATCAGTGCAATTGCTCTAACTCAATCGTGTAGAACAAGCTCTACTACACTTATATACCGTGTGGAGAAGTATATATTATATGAAATGTTTTGTAAATGGACTAAATATAAGTTTTCAAGCAGGGGGGTAAAAAAAATGCATACACAACAAAAGCTATATTCAATATTTGACTCCTGAAGATCTTTTATCTTGAATCCCTGAACCATGGATAATAAATAAATGGAATATCATGAAAAAATTCAAAGAAATATTTATACCCCCCGCTTGAAAAGCGGGAGGGTACTGTAGATCACTAAATTTTCGCGACACCATATTTTCGCGAGATAGTTATTGACTCTTGATTAGCGAGACAAAATTTTCACGAATTATGGTTATTGCTCTATATAATCTTAAGGAATACTATTATACGCGAGAATCTAATTTTCGCCAGCACACTGTCTCGCGTAATTACGCTAAAATAATGTTCTCGCGAATAAAAAGTGATTTACAGTATATAGTAATCGTTAATTCCGTCCGTCTGTACGTCCGTCCGTCCGTCCGTTCTTCTGTCCGTCTGTTACGCTTTGGGGTACCCATCTCTTATCCGCAACTCCTCTCATACCACGGAATGAAATTTGATGAAACTTTCACAGAATCTTTATTACATATTGCCATTGTGCACCTCCTATTTTACTTTTTGATCCGACACATATTTGGGTTTACCGGCCACAGCAAAACATGGACTTTGTCATTAAAACTACGTATATGGAGGCGGGGGGTATCATTTAGTGAGCTCATCGCTCACAGTACCTCTAGTTAAAATTTAATTTCAATGACGAACGAATTTACCTGACCCTCTGTCATTAACTCTGGAGACATATCCTAATTTCAAAAGAATTGATCATTTCAATGATGCAACTGTTTGCTACAGGCAAAAGATTAGGAATTAAAGAATATTTTTTGAAGATTACTTTCAAAGTTTCCTTCATAAATGTTTATAGAGAATTTAAAAATAAAGTCCCAAGCAATTAAATATTTGCTAAATACTAGTAGCTGATGAGGGTATGTAATGTGTGAGGGTGTGTGAGTGAGGTTGTGTGTGGGTGGGGTGTAAGGGTGAGGATGTTTGTGGATGGGTGTATAAGGATGAGGGTATGTGAGGGAGGGGAAAAGGGTGTGTGTGTGAGGGTGTGTGTTGTTTGGGGGGGATGAGGTTGTGTGGCAGTTTATATGCTTAAATATAAAGTCGAAATAGTTCTTACCTTTTGTGAGGATGAGAAAAGAAAAGCATGATGTAAGCATGTTGTTCACTTTCTGGACTGGAAAAACCTGTAATATTGAAAGATACAAATGCATTATAATATAATCACTGTAAATGATTCAAATAGAAATAAACAAACAAACTTTCAACCTTAAAACCCAACTGTTGTCTGTAATGAAGTAAATATATATTAAAACGTTCCGTATATGCATGTAGCCTCAAATAAGGAAACTTTTCTGTGCATTTTTGTCTCACGTACATGTATTATGTAGATATCTTTAAATGGAAAAAGTGCACATTTCAATTTATGAATAGTCGTAAAAAAAAAAAAGAAAAAAAAATTATTACAAGGACCAAAGTCATGATTAGGCATGTTTATACACAAACATTTTGATGTAATGTAGATTTATACAGTTTTTTCTTTTTAAAGATATTTCTTTGGAAGGAAATTGGGCCTATAAAAGGAACGTTATCCGAGGAATACGTAGAAACATTTTTTCCCAATGTTTGTAAGGTCATGTGCTTTAAATCATGAGTATGCAAAATACTTTAAAAGTGAATTAAATGCTTTTTTTTAAATCGACTTATTAACGCTTGGATTAGGATAAGGATAAAATTGAAGATCAATTCTACCAGGAAATGCAGTCTATCAAAGGACAGTGCTATTCGAACCTGTAGCTAACTCTTACAGATTAAGTACCGGTAAATGGCTGCATGTATCAACAAGATGTGTTTGTGTGAAACACTGATTCCCCGAGTATGGCAATGTTGCAACCACTATTGAAACTAGAGGTACTGTGAGCGATGAGCTCACTAAATGATACCCCCCGCCTCCCATATGGTTATAACTGGTGAAATAGTCCATCTTTTCCTGTGGCCGGGAAACCCAAAATATCTGTCGGATCAAAAAGTAAAATAGGAGGTGCACAATGGCAATATGTAATAAAGATTCTGTGAAAGTTTCATCAAATTTCATTCATTGGTATGAGAGGAGTTGCGGATAAGAGATGGGTACCCCAAAGCGTAACAGACGGACGGACAGACGGACGGACGTACAGACGGACGGACGGACGGACGGACGGAAATACCGATTACTATATACCCCCACTTTTCAAGCGGGGGGTATAATAACGACCACTATAGAAATAATTATTATACCCCCGCTTGAAAAGTAGGAGGGTATATAGTAATCGGGATTTCCGTCCGTCCGTCCGTCTGTTACGCTTTATCTCTTATCCGCAACTCCTCTTATACTACTGAGTGAAATTTAATGAAACTTTCACAGAATCTTTATTACATATTGCCATTGTGCACCTCCTATTTTACTTTTTTATTCGACACGTATTTTAGGTTTCCCATAGCAAAACATGGACATTGCCATTATATGTTTACCTATGACGTCACATATAGAAGCTTCTGGATAACATTTGATAGGACGAGTTATTCCTCTTTACACAGTACCGTATAACAATATATAGCAACACATGAACATTATGGGAGGCGGGGGGTATCATGTAGTGAGCTCATTGCTCACAGTACCTCTAGTTTCAATAGGGGTTGGGAGTCCATTTCAATAACATAGGTTGCAACCACTATTGAAAAACTACCACAATTGAAATAATTAATTCAGTAGCTTATTCATGATTATACCCCCGCTTGAAAAGAGGGAGGGTATATAGTGATCGGGATATCTGTCCGTGTGTACGTCCGTCTGTCTGTTACGCTTTTGGTTACCCAACTCTTATCCGCTTATTTGCCATTATAAACATATAGGAGGCGAGGAATATCATTTAGTTAGTTCAGTGATCATAGTATCTCTAGATAAGTATTGAATACGAATGGGAAAGTAATGGTACATGTTCGTTAATGTTTCTGAATTTCAATTTTCACCGTTAAAGTAATTGAGGTCAGAAAAAAGTTTTCAACCAAACATTGGTTTCAGAACTCCTCTCAGTGATTTTATATCCCCCGCTTGAAAAGTGAAAGGGTATATAGTGACCGAGGTGTCCGTCCGTCTTTTTCGCTTTTGGGTACACATCTCTTATCCGCAACTCCTCCAACACCACTTAATGGAATTTGATGAAACTTTCACAGAATGTTTGTTACAAAGTGTCATTGTGACCTCCTATTTTACTTTTTGATCCTAAGTGTATTTTGAGTTTCTCATAGCGAAACATTGACCTGCCATTCTTTCTAAATAATACTAGTATTGAAGGATACCCATCTCTTATTGTCAACTTCTCCTATACCTCTGAATAAAATTAAATGATACTTTCACAAATTCTTTGTTACATGATACTATTGTGCACCTCCTATTTTACTTTTTTATCTGACACTTATTTCGAGCTCCCCAGAGCAAAACATGCGCTTTGCCATTTTATTCATATGATAGGCGGGGGTATCATTTAGTGATATCAGTACTCACAGTACCTCTAGTTTTGTTTTTAAACATTGACCTACTAATTTTTAGAGCATGAGTTGTGGTGTCCTGTACATGTGCAATACTTTTGACTTACTTCTAGGGGGCAGATTGGGGTTTACAAAGGATTTTTTTCTGCGAAAGCTTAGTTCTCATTGAACTTCTCTAATACTTTTCACAGTAGCCAAAAGAACCATTTTTGTAAATTTTAGAATTATTGTGGGTTCATTATTGCAAGTACATGTCTATGCATTACATTTATGCAAATACCAAAATCGCGAGTGTTTATAATTATTACAACTTATACGCTAATTCTCTCTGAATACGATTTTTAAAATAAACTATAGGGATATATGAAATGATGTCTTTGTAATTACAAATCTTAAAGTACTAGTATATATAAAATCACTTTAAATAGAAAATTATGGATACGCGTATATAAATGTACATGCATCTGAATGAAATTCCTAACACTTTACACCAGATTATTCTTTAAATACTTACATTTTTATAATCTTTACGAGGTAGAAATATTTGGATTTCATGAATGCATTTAAAACATTTTTAACATAAAAATTATCTTTCTATCCCCTTAAAGCACACTTTTTAACAACAGGGAAATCAAAGGCTAAAATAATTTTTGAAAGCTTAATTTAAAAGTCCAATTGCTAGCCTTTTCAAAAGGTGTAAAGAACAGGAAGTTTTAATTAAATTAAAACACCTGGCATGGAGACCATAAACTGAGAACACAGGTCAAAATTTTGATTTTCACTTTCTTGAGTTCTGCTTGACGTACTAGTATATGATTGAAAACTTGAAATTCTTTACAGCACATAAATATAAGTATCTGGTGTAAATTTTGTCTCTCATTATCAAAATTATTTGAAAAGTTACACTGGTTAGCTCTACTGGTCAGAGACCAGAAGAGCTTATGCGATAGTAATGCGTCCGGCGTCCGTCCGTCGGTCCGTCTGTCTGTAAACAATTTTTCAAAATGCTACTCCTCCTACAGTTTTGGTCTAATTTCAATATAACTTGGCACACAAGTAGACTACACTAAGATACATAATTCTGTGTATCGTTTTTTGATTTCGATGAACGGTGTTGCCGTGGTTACTAAAAATAGAAATTTCTGTGAAATTCTTTCAAAATGCTACTCCTCCTACAGTTTTGGTCTGATTTCAGTATAACTTGGCACACAAGTAGACTACACTAAGATACATAATTCTGTGTATCGGTTTTTGATTTCGATGAACGGTGTTGCCGTGGTTACTAAAAATAGAAATTTCTGTGAAATTCTTTCAAAATGCTACTCCTCCTACAGTTTTGGTCTGATTTCAGTATAACTTGGCACACAAGTAGACTACACTAAGATACATAAATCTGTATATCGGTTTTTGATTTCGATGAACGGTGTTGCCGTGGTTACTAAAATTAGAAATATCTGTAAAATTGTTTCAAAATGCTACTTCTCCTACAGTTTTGGTCTGATTTCAGTATAACTTGGCACACAAGTAGAATACACTAAGATACATAATTCTGTGTATTGGTTTTTGATTTCGATGAATGGTGTTGCCGTGGTTACTAAAAATAGAAATTTCTGTGAAATTCTTTCAAAATGCTACTCCTCCTACAGTTTTGGTCTGATTTCAGTATAACTTGGCACACAAGTAGAATACACTAAGATACATAAAGAGACTTTATCAACGATCATTATTCTATTTATTGCTGTTGTAAAATTTCAAATCCCAGCTGCTTAAGTACTTTTCTTTTCCTTTGCTATAAGTTCAAACCAGTAGAGCTTCAGTCTCGACAGAGACTTCTGGTTTTAAATTTTGACTTAGTCAGTTCTCAGTTACTGGTCTTGGGGGGCCTGGTCTCAAAAAAACCACATAGATATTGTCCGTCACAAACTCAAGCATCTTTTTAGTCTGACACACGTGTTTCATATTTCGTTTACTAGATAAAGAGTCTGGGTTTGTTTTGATATCCTCACAACAAAACTTTATGATAAACGTTTTTATTTAAATTTTTCTAGTCGCCCGCGTGGCACAGTGGTTAGTGCGTCTGCTCTAGAATTGCGAAGTAAGGAATTGATTCTTACGTCACGGGTTCATATCCCACAGTGGGACGTGGAGACCGGTCCTTAGGATGAGACAATATAAACCGAGGTCCCGTACGTGTCACAGTAGGTGCTGGCTAAAACTTATGTGGCAACAGGTAATGTAGATTCAAATTTGTTCAAATCATGATCCCAATGTGTAGGGCGAGGCCACAATGGGTGATCAACGTTAAACGTAAGAACACGTAGGAAAGTCTTATAAAAAATCTTCTCAAAAACAGCAAAGCCAAGATTGGTCATATTTATATGGAAGCATCCTCAAGTAGTGTAGAATTAAGTTTGTTCAAACTATGACAGAAGGGGATAGGGCGGGGCCACAATAGGGATCAACATTTTATATAGATACATGTATAATATATAGGAAAATTTTATTCAATCTTCTCAAGAACAGCAAACCCATGATTAGTGATAGTTACATGGAAGCATCCTCAGGTAGTGTAGATTCAGATTTGTTCAATCAAATCATAACACCCGGGGTAAATGTGGGACCACGCAGGCACGTAGCATCGTTTTAGAAATTCGG